AAAAATTCTATCATTTCTAATTTAAAAATTTCTTTTGGGGATCCTGGAGTCACGACAATTACCGACATTTTAGTTGGACCAATTTTCTTCAAATTGGCTTTACAGAATGAAAAACCCATTTACACGTTTAAAGTACGTACAGAAATCATGTGCGGGATAGTAAATTTAAGACTAAAAACTTAGTCTTAAATTAAAAAAAGAAAAATATATTTAAGTAGTAACTAGTATACTATACTAGTTGATGTTGCACCTTTTCTACCTAGAGCTGTCACTTTAAGGAAACGTTCGCTTATATAGCTTACGTGCACGAAAATGTCCCGCACCTCGGACTAGATCAAAGAACAGCGTGGCACCATTGAAACTAAGATTGAAAGCCTAATAAGAAAGATTTTTCATCCAACTGATTTTATGCATGTACACACACGCAGTGTACATGGCGTTGCAATCTGACAAGGGCAAGTATCTCGTTAGATAAGAACAGATGGGCCGGAACATAGAAAACGGTCAAAATTATCGACCCGGTCGGAGTTCGGCCGTCACTCCAGGATCCAAAATACACTAAAATAGCTCCTTTTGCAACTTTAACTGCAAATTTCTCAAAATTGTGACATGACAGAGTAATTTGATAAAATTATATTCGACGTCCAAAAAACTACGAGAAATGATATTCTCGTTCCTATGCATTTTTTTGTTGAACAGTGTAATTACATTTTAATTTGTCACATGCAAAAAATTTCTATAGAAAAGATCTTCCAACTAATTATTCCCAATAAATCATTTCTTTCTAATTCTTTGAGTCAATTATTAATACTATGTCAAGCATCATCGATTACTTTTTCCTTTAGTAATTAAACAGTGATTAAAGGCAGAAATAGTTTTCCATATCTCCATCATTAAATCATCAAAAAGATTTCTTTTACTCAGAATGTTCTTTTAATTCGGAATTGTTCAGGCACTAACAATAAGATTAGACAAAAGAGCACCCTGCGTACCTTATGGGTAGAATTTGTCGTGTTATAACAAAACAATAAGCACGTACGAGGCGAAAGAGAGGAATCGACCTTACCCCGAAACACGACACTGCTTTTGTGATCTACAAGTGCATCACGTGTGGGCTCTCTAAGAGTCGCGGCTCGCGGCCTCGTATCACCCTACGATAACTCGACGATGTAACCCTCCCCGCCTGGTCGTATCCAGTTACGAGCCGCGCGGATGCACGTGCATATTGTCGTCCCCGGGTGCTTCACCTGACACGTGGCCGGGCGAATTTCAATTCACCGGTTCTACGTGGACGTCGATGCTTGACTTCGTGACAAGCGGGCCGTGTCGGGGTCGTTTGAAGTCTGAACCCACTTGACCAGTTGTCGTTTTTAATCCATCGCCCCTTACTCGCGTGCGTAACGATCGCTCCGCGATACCGCGTCACGCTAATAAAGGCACGAAAGCAATCCTTCCAAAAATAGGGGAAGTCGGTAGAAATCAGTAGAAATTTATTCCGCGATGTCTTGCGAGAGACCTGAAGATTAGAAGACACATTAGAAATTTCTGTCACTTTCTCATTGAATGTTCTTTTCCTTTCCCATTTAAATTCTTATTAACGCGCGAAACAATGTATAAGAGTGATTTTTACTTACATTCAACGTCTTCTTGTTTCAGAATACCGGCATATGCGATACTCGGCAAAACGCAAACTGCTTGCCCTGTTGGCAAAGTTGAGCATTCATGGACGTTGCAGAAGATATCTCGGACTTTCCGAAATTTTTGAAAGTATTTTAAGATGTTCTAACAATTCTAATTTTAATAATTATAGCGCAAATCATTTATTGTTTATTTGCAACGCAAAAATAAAATGATATTACATGCCTTTGTAATTTTTGCGCGTACGATGTACTCGTAATATTATGATGTGATTATAATAGTGCGAGATTAGATTTATATATAAATTAAACAATACACAATTAAAGATGAACGTTACATTACATGATGCTTTACAAATAGTAATAATAAGTAACGTTCCATAATTTTATATATTTATATTCTTTAACGTTAACATTTATTTTAAATTTATTATTGCAAAAAATTTTATTCAAATAAAAATTTTTTATGACAACGGGTCATGAAGTCTAATATATTAGAACGCAAGTTGGTCTTAAATTAACATGATTAAACGCAATAAAATAATGGAGTATATAAATATTATTGTAGTATAATTTAAGATCGACTTATACGTTCTAATATATTAATTTAGAGCGAAAACAAAAAATCTGTATTTAAATGCTTAAAATATAGAGTATGGTATAAGGTGATAAGAGAATAGCAAGTGCAATTTCTAACTTGGCAGGAATGGGTCAAACGATATTGATCATGCGAAATTCGAGAGAGAAAGAGAGAGAGGGAGAGAGAGGGAGGATTCAGGAAATTCGATGCTACAATCTCTCTTTTCGGTACCTCAATCTAGACTATTCTTGTAATTATTTGCATTTGCTGCGCTGTCCCAGCCCAGGAAATCGACCATATTTCCCTGCGCTCTATATTGACCTCTGTAACAAACGCGACTGTTACTCACAATCAGCCATTAATAGGTTTTCCTCGCTTTTCGGTCTCCGCAGTTTTGACGTCAGCATTTTTAACGTCCGCGTCGTGATACTCGCGTGTTATTCTTGGCACTCATCTTGAGCGGTATCAGCACGATTTTGAAGTTTTATGAATTATTCTCGAGGAGTACGATCCTCAAATTAATTTACGTGAGTAATGTGATTTGTACGCGATGTTTGTATACGAAATGTTATAATCGTTCCTGTGCTATTGTCGAATTACGTTATGTTGCAATAAGGAAGGAGATGGTATAATGAAGTAATAAAAATTGAAATACTTTGTTTTAAAGAGACAATGGCTATAATGAACAATAGATAAGAAATAGATGGTTGAAAAAAATATATCTTGGAAATGTATTCAATGACGTGTCGCGTGTCTGTAATATTTTATTATACTAATTGGATGCTTGTAATATTTTATTATCTCACATTACATTTTATAGTGGAGAACTAAATACGCGGAATTCATAACTATTTATTTATAATTTTAATTGGCTGATTACCATTCGAGCAATATACGCAAATTTATGTACTGACAAATTTGCATCATTCTGTAGTTAAATTCGCTTCGCGAGGGATCGTCTTCGTCACGGAGGAATAATTAAGTGCCGTCATAACGCCCATTCTATTCTCGGCGTCATTTCATAATTCGACACACCTGACGACACCCCTTGAATATTTCATTTCTCTCAGAATCCGATTTTCGCTCTCGCTTCATGATACGTCGCTTTCGCAGTTTTTTTTTCTAAAATAATAGTTGGTCGCTTCGCGGAATGAGTCCTCGCCCACTTGATTAATCGTGGCAATCCGAACCGTGGATATATGTTTTTCGGGGTGATCGATTCGACAGGTCGTGCGCCTTTCTTCCTCATCGACGTGTTCTCCACCCACACCCTCACCTTCGCCATCCATCCCCTACCTGCAGCTCCCGCGAACTTCTACCCACGCTTACCTGGAGAATCCAAAATGTTACTGCAAACGCCAGCAGTAGAATTTACAGTTGATAACTTTGAGGTGATAAAAAGTTGGAGCCGATTTTTCGTCGAATCGGTTAAAATTCATGAGATTTAGATATCTGCGTCTGATTGTAAGTTATAATCGATAAAGGTCGTACCAAAGAGTTACCCTTGCCCTTTTTGCAGCAAATGTTTTTTATTACTCCAATATTTGATTTAAAAAATGATATTTATATATATGTCGCAGGGATTTCGTGTAATCCTTTTTTTTTGCCAAAATTCCTAGAAAATCCCCAAAAAATCGAGATATTGTGAAATGAATAAAAATTATAAATAAAAATATTTTATATAATTATATTTTATATCTTGATATATATATCTCTAAATATAATCTTTAAATATAATTTATAATTATAATATATTTATAAATATAAATTAATAAAAATTTCAACTCACAATTTCACTGACAGAACCTAGAATTTTGCAAAATCACTAGTAAGATTATATAATTTTTATTCCAGGATACACACACATACACACACACACATATTGTTATATTATTATTTACAAAAGAATTGCTTGCTTTGTAAACAATTTTACTATAAATTATATATTCTTTGCGATAACAGCGTAACAGATCCTGTACGATTTTCGGTTTTTAGTGGCAAGGTATTATTAAATTTCTAATGTAGGAGCAAACGAGAATAACTTAATTAGCCTTCGAAGACTAATTAAGCTATCCGCCCTTGCTGTAAAAATAGATCAATGTTATTTCTTATATTACAGCTCTGAATAGTATAGAAAGTACCTGACATTTACATCTTAACTTTATTAAATTAAAGCGTTATTAGGGAATTTCTGGTAAACAAGTTAGTTTGCTAATTCAAGAGCCAATGTTGCCCAAATGTGACGTTTGATTTCCAGTATCAATTAACTCCAACGGTAATTATTATTTTCTCTCTTAACCCTTGTGATCGAGAAGACGTCGAATAATTTTACGGCAATTTCGTATCATGAAATTGTAAATTGAACGCGCGCACATCCCCTTCGCGAGGAAGCAGATCGACCTACGCACGTGACGTTCGCCAGGAAATAACGCACCTCGATGTTATATAGCGACTTTTCATCTCCTGGGCGACCTGAACTCGCTCACGTCTCCCAGCTTTCCTTCTCTAAATTTCCGCTCATCCGTTCCGCGTGCGAAAGAGGTGAGAGGAGAGCGGCGGAGCAAGGGACGCGATCTCCGTCGCGACGCAGTCGGGGGGCGCAGACTCGGCGGCGACCAGCCAAAGCCGGTAGTCCACGCCCCCCGCTTCGCCCCCGGCGGGGGCGTCGGGCACGCCGGAGGAATGGGACAAGAGGGCGCGAAGGGGGTACAGGACGGCGAGGGATGCAGAGCGGCGCGAGCGGCGAGGGCGCGCGTAACGGGACGCGGGGTGGTTTTCGGGGGATGGTGGGGGTCGACACGGAACGCCGTGCATCCCCCGCGCGACGCCGCGCCGTGACGTCACGGGGGTCGAATCAATATCACACCGGAGTGCCCTCCCTCCGTCGTCGTCGGTCCTCGCGCGACGGCAGACGGCCGACCGCCTCAGTACGAGGTGGCCCCCGCGACTGTACGGGACGACGACGACGGCACGTTCCGGCAGCGTCGTTCCGACAACAACGACAACAACGACGACGACGACGAACGACGGCGACGGTGGCGGCAACAATCACGGCCACGATTACGAAAACGACGACACGCCGATCCGTTCGACCCCCGACTTGTTCCGCGCCCCGTCTCGCTCGCCCCCTCCGAGACCGGTAACTACGCTCCCTCCCGTCACGTGAAGCCGACTCTGTACCCTGTCCTTGTTTCGCCGGTTTCTCTTCGGTTCGGCCACTGGTACTTCAAGGCCACCGATCGCTCGTGTTGGACGCCGGTTTGTCAACAATGAGGTAGTCGTGGCCGCTTTGAGTTTCTTCGGGTTCGGGATCGGGATATCTGTTCAGTGGAGACGCGAGGATAGTGCCCGTAAGTAACTGTTTGCTGTAATAATATAAGCGAGTTTAACCCGGAAACGGGCGCCTAATTTTTTTTTTTTGCATAAATGGTCATTTGTGGTGATTGTTAATTGTTACACCTCAATTAAAAGTCAATTAAAATTGTTATTGATTACATATTGCATATTTTTGACTGTTTTATAATTCATTAGTATTTGGATGACAATATGTATATAGAGTTATTCAACGTTTTCTGAAAAAAATAAAGCGAATTCAAAAAATGTAAAAAAAACGAAAGAACCACATTTGCTGTGACGTGAGTTTCATTTTTTTACTGGAGTGTAAAAATCACCTCAGGCGCCCGTTCCTGAGTTAAAAAAAGAAAATAGTGATCTTTATCGAAAGAAAATTCGAATTTTTATTTCGAGAAGCAGGGTTGGCCGGCTGAAAATGTTGGCGATAAGAATCCTCCATTCATGTTTTATTTCACACAGAAGTGTTACACGATTTATTACAATTTATTATACTAATAGATACGTAAAACAGCTTCGTTTTTCTCTATGTATAATAGGTATCAAAGTATTATTAATTGATATATTGAATTATTACCAGCCAGCTAAGCGTATAACCGCGCTAAAATAATTCATAGAAATCCATGGCCAGTCAGAGTTCTTACGAGTTATGTATTCGTGCTTAGATATGAAAGAACATGTGTGAATATAGTAGCACTTATGAAACTATAATGTGTGACAATCTTATTTGTGAAATCTTCAGCTTATAAAAAAAATGTTCTCTTATAATAATTTTGACGTTGACTGTAGCTAAATTTTTAATATAAGTAAATATTCAAGAATTGATCAACGCCGGTTAATTTTACTTATTTCATTGTTTGTCTGTTTCTAAAATTAAAACGGATTTCTAGAACTAGATGAATTACATCTAAAATGCACAGATGATGAGGGATAAAATTGAAATAACAGAAAGCTTATTGAGATAAATTTAATTTGAATGCTTATATATTATATCAGCATAAAAATGTTACCTCTATTGAGAAGAACCAAAACTCACATGATTGAAACGTTGTGATGATTATAATTAATAAAGATAGCCAGTTGGGTCAAATAAAAAATCTTTACTTGAAAGTTATCGATTCAAAGATAATCTGAAAATTATCTTATTATTATTCGATAAAAAGTCTTTTATCGAAAATATAATGCACATGGAAAAGTATGTCGCATAGTCTTGCAAACTTTCCTTATGCACATTATAGGAATTATCGATGCCGGCGGCTATTTAAAAAAAGACTTTATTTCCTATTTTAAATGTGAAAGTTGCTGTGACAAGAACTTATATTCATATATGCTATAGAGAAAGGTCAATATTTTTTCACAGTTTACATATATTTATTAATGGACGATAAATTTGTAAGAGCACAAGTTTCACAGATGATTAAGAAATACTTAACAACTTAGCAGTGTCAATCATCCCTATGGTCGATTTTACGTTAACCGGTCTTATTACAAATTTGGTCTTAGCTATAATTAAAGTACCAGATAATACCTTCTGGCTGAAGTACCCTCTTCGGTGACTCTCCTGCACATTCTTTCGCGTCAGGTATCTCTAGACATAGTAGTCCTCGTTCTTCTAGGTAAAGAACCGTGCTGATCCCCGCGATCGGTCCCGGTGCCGTGGGTGCAGGAGGAAGGCGAGGAGAAAGGGTGGAAACGAAGAAACCAAGCAGGCAGGGAAGCAGCGGGCTCGGTGAGTTGGGTGAAAATCGATGGCCATCAGCGCCCATGGGCGGCCTCGCGTTTAGGACAAGGAATAGCCCCTCCCAGAAGACCTCGCTCCGGTGGGGCGACTGCTGCCCCCCAAACCTTAACCCAGCGTCGTCGTCGGCCGTCTGGAAGCACCGTCATCAGGAAATGCCGCCGGTGCCCGTGTGAGGCTGCCCCCCGCTGTTGCGTGATTGTACCTCGCGGGGATTTCAAAGGTAAACCTCCACCTCCCCGCACTTAGTTCTCGCCTCTCGGTCCCCTTTTTCGCGGGGCACATCGCGATCCTTTCTTTCGTCGACTATAAATTTCTTCGCAATAAAAGAATTTCTGCAGTTTCAATAACATTTTAATTTTTTTCTCTTATTTTTGTTTAAACAAGTTTTAAGAAAATAAAGAGTAAGGAAAATGGAAACAAAGAAGCCTGTGTACCCCGCAAGACGAATTTTCGGCAATCGTGTACGGTTTTCGTATATGAGATTCCATAAAAATTAGTGCTCCATCTGATATGCATCTCTCTGTCAAGTCTCTTCCCTTTCTCTCCTTTTGATTTTAAAACTTTCTCTTTGATGCTTTGATACCACTCATGATGTATGTTTTTATTATCTATCAGAAACATATTGTGTCACGTTCCTTTGATCTCGCTTTATTCAGTTCGAGAAGCAATCCTTTAAACCTGCCTTGCTCTTCAGAACACATACATTCTTGTACTTTATTTATATATATAGTCTAATAAATTGCAAATCTTTTGTCCTTTTCTTTCACGAAGGCAGACTCGCAAAATTTTTTTCCTATTCTATGCTGAGTAAAGCGCGTATTTGTACTTAATCGAAGCTACATCCTTTCTGAAGCCGGATCGAGCGGCGCCTCGGGTAGACCGCGCCTAACAGGATTAGAGGGTGAACTCGGTTGAGCGATTTAAATACCCCTCGGGTAGAAACATAATATTTGTGCTTAGCTGCACTTGTTGGACGCGAGCGTGACGGCCACGGTGTTAATCAAGCAGAAGACTTTAATACACTCAACGCGAAATTGATAAATTCTTTGTAAAACCTACGCTGAGAAGTTTTTGCATCGGTTAGAATCACTGATCGCGGTGAACAAAGGAAGGAAATCCACCGGTTTTTGCATTATTAACATATAGCTTGACATATCGTATTACGAGAAAAAAAGTGTGGTAATTTAAAAGATCAATTCTTAAATAAAATTGCGACATTTAATTCGGACTATAAAATAAAATGGCGAATAAAATTTATTAATTAAAATAGTTTCTAGATATAAGTTTATATTTTTTATTTTGTAACTTTTTTTCATTTGTTGCATTAGTCTTTTCAAAAATTTCTTCTAAATATGTAAAAATAACATTCTTTTTCCCAGAATTCTTGTAGCTCGTGACAATATTGCAATTTCTTGCGAAATTCTCTCGAATTTTGTTTTTGCAAAAGTTTCTAGAAAGTCTAAAAACTGAACGTGTCTTTAAAAAATTGAATTCAGATATCCAGACGGTCCCAAAGCGGATCGGCCGCCGAATTTCTCGGACCTACGTCTCCGTCAGCTCGAGCTCGCGCCGGTAGACACTTATTCCCCGAAAATGATCAACATCGCCGGGGTGGTCTCCATCGTTCTCTTCTACCTGCTGATCCTGGGCGTGGGAATATGGGCGGCCAGGAAAAAGGAGGCGGGCAACGACTCCGAGGAGGAGGTCATGCTGGCTGGCCGCTCCATCGGGCTCTTCGTCGGGATATTCACGATGACGGCGACCTGGGTCGGCGGTGGTTACATCAACGGTACCGCCGAGGCAATCTACACCAGGGGCCTGGTCTGGTGCCAGGCACCCTTCGGATACGCCCTCAGCCTCGTTTTCGGTGAGTCCGATTATTCTTTCTGTTTCTCCTCGTCGATGCAGTCTCCCGTTCTCGTGTGACTGCATCGATTTTTAATCTCTTCGTGACGCAAAGTATCGTCATGCGTCATTTCGGCGCTCCGAAATGTAAGAAAGTAAAAGTACATATAGGTAGGGGAGACCGGGGCAAACTCGACACGATTTTTTCACAGGCAATTTTCAACAATTAATTAAAATTTTCCAGCAAATTAAATGGTACATTTAAAGAGTGTTCCTTCAGGTACAAAATTGCTTAAGGAAGTTTTGCTGTATGTCGCTTAGTTTTGCCTCCAGGAAAGGAAAAGTAATGCAAAGACAAATTTTCAAATTAAAAAATGCCGGGGCAAACTCAACACTTTGTCTGATCGACACAATTTAGTCTGGAACTTATTTTTTATTGTCTGAAACTGAAAATACATTGTTTACCTTGTGTATTTGGAAAGTACCAAAATTCGGAATTAAGTAAAACAATCATTGGAAATAATGAGAACAAAACTTGTTAAACTTTCAATTATTTTCATCTAAATTCATGTCTGAAAAACAATTTATGCAAGTAAATTCGCGATCGTACGGACGTGCGCACAAATTTGTCATGAGCCATATGGCTGCATGACAAGCATTGTTTGTTATTGGGAGCTGATGAAACGGCGTGGTGTCGATTTTGCCCCGAACCTCGTTTTTCACTTTTGTCATTCCAAAAACATGAAAATTTTGAAAATATGCAAAAACTATTATCGGATTCGTATAGGCCATCAAATTTTCCATCAAAATCATTTACATATAGGTTCGCAAGAGTAAAACTCGATGAAAGAGTAAAAATTTTCGAGAGATCAGGAAAATTACTTTTTACCATCAAAAACGCTTATGTCGCGCTAAAAATTATACCATAACTCAGAACGTCATCAAATTCCGTTCATAATACTGGCACATAAAGACGTATTTACAGTAAGAAAGGCAAATTTCTACGATAGATTTAAATTTTCAAAAAGCCTAGTGTCAAGTTTACTCCGGTGTCGAGTTTGCCCCGTCTCCCCTACTCATTTTTCACTCTTTTCGCGAAAAATTTGTGCACCGGTATGGGACCGCGCAAAATCTTTGTGCGGCATACCTACATTATTTGCATCTACCTTTATCTGTCTATCTTGAAAAATTTTACGTAAATTCGAATTAGATTTTATCGTTGCCACCTATTTGCGATACTGTTCGCTCTTATTCTATTGCTTGGTATTTTGCGCGATTTAAACCTCTCTCTTTTATAAAATTACAATTTCTGACATGTAGATTTTACTATAGCAATTTACTGACGAAATAGAGTTTGGATTTAATATGCTTTTTTTTTTAACAAATATTTATCATAGATCATAAAATTCAATTGTGATGTCATCAGCTTATTTCGATCCTCCACTCACATTTACCGTACACAACTTCCTTGTACATCAAAGTTATCTGACAGGAAACGATAATAATGATGTAGAAGGAATGATGAAGATGTCGAAAACTTTTTTTACAACATTGTAAGTTCTTCTTAATCAGCCGGGTGGACGGTGAAAGTTCGCAATCGCAAAGATCGACGATAGAACAATCGAAAGATTGTCGATCAATGACGCGTCTTTCTTTACACAGCTGGAATGCTTATGCCGAAGAAGTTACGGCGGCTGACAATAGAATTCCTGTAATATAACAAACAGCCGACAGAGTTTTCGCTATCGGCACTCTCGCATATAAAGACGATAACTTTTCCATCAATGTCTCGCGCGTGCGGTCAAACGACCTCGACAAAGAATAAATGTGGCTATAAGTCCATTGAAAGCCTAGCTTTGCTATATGTCTATGTCTATGAATGATTGTTTCTAATAGCATTAAGAAAAATTGATAGAAATTTATTCCTTTAAGAACCGGAACTCTAATCTTCGCAGCTTTATTAAATTTTTTTCTATTCTCTTCCATTCCTGCGTGTTAGAGATGTGCGAATCGAATTAAATTAAAAAAAATTTTTTTCTATTTTGAATCGAATCGAATCGACAAAATTTTATCCGAATCAAAACGCCTCGAATGAAATCAAATTAAATCGTTGAAATATAATTAAAAATTTTAAACTATATAAGTATATAATTATCAATTAAACTTTCATTTTTTCCGACTACAATTGGCAAATAATCATTTGATGATTGTTTGATCGTGACGATTCGACCATTGGTTTTGGTCCGATTAATCGTCAAGACGTTAATAATCTTTGATACTTATATGTATAAACATCTCATTTTAAAATAATTTAAATTAAATTAAATTATTAAATTTATTGCGAAAAATATATAAAATATACCTCAGCCAGGGTTCGAACCTGGAACCTCCCCCATTCCGTGTAGGGCGTCGTACCAATTTGACCATTGAGGCATGTGGTAATATTTATCGCAATAACACACTAAACAATAATAAGATATGGAGACACCGATATTTAAGTCGCGGTGTATAATTAAACCAAAAATACATTCGTAATTCACCAACAATATAATAAACAATTAAACTTTTATTTCTTCCGACTACAATTGGCAAATAATCGAACAATCATCGAATGATTATTTGCCAATTGTAGTCGGAAGAAATAAAAGTTTAATTGTTTATTATATTGTTGGCGAATTACAAATGTATTTTCTATATAATTATCATTAAATTAAATTTTAACACGTTGATAGTAAGGGAATATTTTATGGAAAAATAACATGAATTATATTGGAAAGGTAAATTCCATAGTGGTGTAAGTCAAATTTTTTAACATATTGACTCGCGTGCATAGATGCAATTTATATATTGTATATGACTATGGGGCTTTTACCCCTCTATATATAATATAAATTCTTTTTAAGGAAAAAGACATATTTAAATATTTAATATGAAACTAATAAAATTCTACTTAATATTATTTAATTTCACAGTAACTAAAACAATTAAGCGAAAAATCATAGATAAATTACTAAAATACTCTCTTATGTAGGTAGTAGGTATCCAATAACATCCAATTATACATACATAGAAATTAAAATAAAATAATTTTTTATTTTATTATCTCAATACTCATAGTTTACTATTTTTTACGTACATTAAAACTTTTACTTACAATTTGATAGGATCACAGAGCGTATAAAAAATTAGAAATAAATTTTTTGACTGCTACTTAACCATATACTTAGTGAGCGGCTCTAATACTGAATGCACTTATTATAAATGCCTCTATTAATTTAACCGTGTTTTGCTTAATAACGGGAAATATGATTTTATAAAATTGACAATATATTTGTATATATTTGTATTCGAACCATCTAGATTCGAAACTTTCGAATAATTCAGATTTGAATCATAAAAATTCAAATTCGAATTTGAATTGAATCGAATATCATCCGATTCGATTCGATTCGATTAGTTAGCATAGCTCTACTGCATGTGAAGCCATGCAAGAAGTTAAGAAATTTTTTTTTTTCAGTGAAGAGAAAGAAATTGGACTCAATATGTTTCTTTCAAACAAATGTCTGTCATAGATCATGTATAAAATTCAGTTGTAATGCAAACAGCTTATTTTGATCCTTCGCTCACATTTCAAATTATTCTAATGTCTAATGAAGCTATTTTAGCGATGTAGATAAGATACATCGGTGAAAGAAAACCGGTGCGATCGTTTTTAACGATCTTAACGTATCTGTCGCAGGTGGTATTTTCTTCGCGAACAAGATGCGACAGCAGGGGTACGTCACGATGTTGGATCCGCTTCAAGACGCGTTTGGGGAGCGTATGGGCGGCCTCCTCTTTCTGCCTGCTCTGTGCGGCGAGGTCTTCTGGGCGGCGGGTATCCTCGCGGCCCTCGGTGCCACGCTGGCGGTCATCATCGACATGGACCAGGGCACCTCCGTCATCCTGAGCGCCTGCATCGCGGTTTTCTACACTCTCTTCGGCGGTCTCTACTCCGTCGCTTATACCGACGTCATTCAGCTCTTCTGCATATTCATCGGTCTGGTAAGCGATCGATCGCAGTTACCGAAGCGTATCGGGAACTTGCAATCAGGCATAATTATTTATTTAGTGCGAATAAATAACGTAATGATTGGATACATCGCAACCAGCTCAGCTTGACATAATCGCTCGAATAACTAGCTATATTTGAAAGTACATTTGGACGAATAAATGTAATCGATATAGTCTACAATTACGATAATATTGATTTGAAATAAGATAATAAAAGAGAATAACTTGAAAATAAAATAAAATAAAATAAGTCGTTATGACGCACTGCTAAAATTTAATTGCACGATTTTTTTTGTACCTGAAGTAAAGCAAAATTTCGATAAATGTCACAGTTTACTTGACCCGTGTAAACGTTCGGACGGATGAGTCTCCGGTGTGATATCAGCCCTAGAGCTTAATCGATATCGTGGCCCCGCTACTGCGAGCGTTTGTATTACCAAATTTATACTCGGTGACGTATAGGTGGTGACCCACTTCTCGAAAGAACGTTATCGAGCTATTATTTCTGTGAGACTCCGCACCTAACAGGGAGGCTTCCGTTACAACGGCAAACTTTACAATGCAAAGATCTTATCTAGACACCCCTTTTAGCAGATTAATTTGTTCGATCAACATTAAAGCCTTTTTTGAAGAACAAATGAATATCGTCCTGATAGTTTCGTACAACTCAAATTTTCAAATATTACAAGTGTGTAATTCTAACGTTATGTTTCCAATGCATTTTATTATTATCGATTGATAAAAATTGTCGATATAAGAAATATTTAATGTATTTATTTAATGCATTTAAATTAGTTGTGTTGCGCGATTACTTTTGATTAATTAGCTACAACTGTAGTTTACATTTGCGATGCTTTTATTTTGAACGGAGCCTTCCCTTATTTCGGACACCGTGAATGCAAACTCGTCCCTCCGTGACGAGACCGCCGTCCATTAACTGTAATTAATCGCGATAAATCGAGCCTTTCAGAAATAACTGTAATAGCGAAATAGATCCTCTGTTCGGAGAAAATATTTGAATGACTTGTATCAATCAGTTACAGATCAAAGCTTTATGTTCGTAAAAAATTGCCCGAAAAGAGACAATTTAAAATAAATTTAATATTTATTAAAATAATTATTGTCTAATTCTGTTGATACAAAAATTTTTTTTTTATAAAAAAGAGATTATTTAAAACATTAAAACAATTTATTAAGAATAATCACCTTTTATTTTCTAAATATAAAAGAAGTTAAAAAGTACATAGAATGCACGTTTTTTAGACAATTAATAAATAACTTTTTACAAAAGTCATATAAATATTTTCATTACAAAATCGATATATTCTAATAAATACTCGCTTATCTCTTATTAAAATATCAGTTAATAATTTTTTTTATTTTCTAAATGATGGAAATCATTTTCTGTCAATAGTGGATGTGTATTCCGTTCGCTTGGGCCAATCCGAAGGTAGAATCTCTTGGTTCCATGGATGTTGATTGGATCGGCAAAGTTAACCCCGAGGAGTATTGGTATTATTTGGATTACGGTTTACTTTTGATATTCGGCGGTATACCTTGGCAAGTGTACTTCCAACGCGTCCTCTCGTCGAAAACCGCGGGAAGAGCTCAAATATTGAGTTACGTTGCCGCTGCGGGTTGCATCCTCATGGCCATTCCCCCCGTCTTGATTGGAGCGATCGCCAAAGCAACTCGTGAGTACCACACGCATTTAATTATTAATTTATTAAACATATTGGGGATCGGCGATATAAATCAACGTTAGATAATTGATGTCACATGATCCGCAATGTGTTAATTGGAGCGGCTAATTGGTTTACTGGTCCGTTACGTCATAAAAATTTTGTGGAAAATATTTTCGCCATATCACATTTCCTTCGAAAGTATTTAATTTTTACCATAAATATTCTTTCGTGTTTTTAAGTCTAAGAACAATATTTATAAAGGAACTTTTTACGTGTCATTCTTTGTACTAATATTGCGTTAAAGTAGAAGAAATTTCACGAACAAATATCTAAGTAAAATGCGCGGACGTTAATTCGGCGGCGTTCTCTCATTTTCTTGAAGAAAGATGTCTTAAGGATCTTTCCGGCGACGGGAAAGAGTCCAATTTAGGTGCATTAATAATAAAAGGAAAACGAGGCGTTTCTCGTTCCTCGTTCTCTCCACCCCCGAGATAGTCGTTGTCTCGCCCGAGGGTGTAGTAATGGGATCCCCCTTCGCGAGCCCCCCCCCTCCTCGCTCGAGAGGATCGAATTAGAACTCGGGTTGCTCGTCGTCCCACGCTCCTCCTCGTAGATATATTCGGAGGCTACTTGACATTTGGTGGCGCGACAAAGAGAGAACTGCTGGTATTTACAAGCGGCGGCGCGGTGGCGGACGCGAAGGGCGCGGATGGCCGAGGAGGGGTGCCTTGGGTATATTCGCGTGCGTGTACAATAGCGTGGGATCCCGCCATGTGGCGTTGCCTTTGCGAGGGCGAGGGTCGTAAATGCGGGACGATTCGCCCGCTGTAGCGCGAACGTGCGGAACTACGTCTCCGGAACTAATTCGGTACCCCTGCACTGGTATGTTGCGGAAGGACCCCGAACACGCGGACGGCTAGCAAGAGAGAGAGAGAGAAAGAGAGAGGAAGAAATACAGAACTGAATTATGCGAATCATGGACGCATGGCGTCGAACAAAGACAGTGGATAGGTGAAACGAACAATGAGATACAAATCGAAGCGACAAACAAAGACGGGAGTTCTCCTTTGCCCTTAAGAGTGCTCTATATATTATTCTAACTATATTAGTCTCGACTATATTAGTCAGTCTATATGAATAGAGCGGCGACAGCATACAATATGGTATTCCGCATTCGTATACATTGGAAACATCTCAGACACGCAGATTGGTGCAGGCAAAGAGAAATAGAGAAACGGGAGATTACATTACGATATGGACGTGATACTGAATAAGGAATAAAGACAAGCCAGACGAACAGAGATGAAAATTTAATGAACCAATGCAAACAAATCGTTACCTAAAAGGCTAGGTATTAACGATGTAATAATTATGTCGCAGCTTGGAACGAGACGGAGTATACTGGTCCCTATCCTTTCACGGAGGCGGAGACCAGCATGATTCTGCCGTTGGTCCTGCAACACTTGACACCGAACTTCGTTTCCTTCTTCGGGCTGGGAGCGGTCTCGGCGGCGGTGATGTCTTCTGCGGACAGCAGCATCCTCTCTGCTAGTTCGATGTTTGCTAGAAACGTTTACAAATTAATCTTCCGTCAGCGGGTGAGTCTGCGGAGTTGCGCTCCCGCTTGCGAGCCTGCATTCATGCACACACGGCGAAACCACTTGACACGACACGACGCGCGACGTGCCGCACGTGTCGATGCATATCTTTAACGTGTATAAGGCGAAACTTTATAACAAGCTTCTTGTGAAGTTTTCCGCGTTGTCATGAATAACACGACGAAAATTAGTTCGTAATTATGCGGTCTTATTTCGCGTTTTTTAACTTTTGGTTAACGCGAGTTTGTGCGCAAGGATCACAATTTAACTTTGTCCGTTTAATATTTCCTTATAGATTACAATTATTTTCTACGGGGTATTAAGTGAGAATTTCCAAGTAATTTTAATTGATACTTACTATATAAATTACACGTTGAAAAAGTATTGCGTCATTGCTAGCACTATCTTAATTATGTCAGTCTTTTTATTACGCACTCGCGTATCGATTTCTCGTGACCGCGCCATTATTATTCACGAGTTAAATACATGGCACAGCGCGTGTACTTCTCGAGCACTCCGCGTAATGTTTTTCCCCTTCTGTTCCTCCCGATACTGACCCACGTGGGTGCGCGATCTTGGTATTCCCCTGTGCAGGCGTCGGAGATGGAGATCATCTGGGTGATGCGGGCGGGGATCGGCGTGGTCGGCGTGCTGAGCACCGTGATGGCCCTCACGATACCGTCGATCTACGGCCTCTGGTCAATGTGCTCGGACCTGGTCTACGTGATCCTGTTCCCGCAGCTACTGATGGTGGTGCACTTCAAGGACTACTGCAACACCTATGGCAGTCTGTCAGCATACATAATCGCCTTTCTGGTGCGCATCAGCGGCGGCGAGCCGGTGATGGGGCTGCCCGCGCTAATACGCTACCCGGGGTACGACGAGGAGACCAAGACGCAAATGTTCCCGTTCAGGACGATGGCAATGCTGATATCGCTGGTGACCCTGGTCGCTGTGTCGTACGGCACGCAGTTCGTCTTCCTGACCGGGCGACTCGCCCCGGGCTACGACGTCTTCAGGTGCGTGGTGAACATACCGGAGGACGTCGAGCGGGTGGGCCCGGACCCGGCCGAGGGCGAACAGATGGCGGTCCTAGCCGGGGGCGTCGGCAGACTCTACGGCAGCAAGGACGAATCGAACGGCCGAGTGAATCCTGCACTCGAGCCGGACTACGACATGGAGCCGGGATGTACGATGGTCGGCGGTACAGCGGACGGCGTCATCGGCGGCGGCGGCGGCGGGGTCGGCGGCGCCGGGGGACACCTGGTGCCCCACGTGCCCGGCGGCGCGCCCCGACAGCCGCAATCCAGCACCGCGTTCTAATTCCTGGTTCCGTGATCGGATGCTGTGACCAACAATAAGTGCGGCGGTGCGGGTCTCTGTCTTTCGTTTCCTTCC